AAAAAAAATTGGAAGTGAATAATGTTGTTCTTAGCTGAGTTAATACTCAGTCTTCTGAACTAGCTCGACTGCCTTCCCAACTGCAGTGTCCATAGCAATGGTAGGAATACTAAATGCTAAAACCCTTGTGAGGCTGCTTCAACAAACCTCCCCCAGGCCTTCTTCACTTGAGCTAGCAACTGTGCTGTTAGGTAAGAGAATGGTTCTACTCTTTTCTTTTTTTTTTTTTAGGCAATTGGGGTTAAGTGACTTGGTTCAAGGTCACACAGCTAGTAAGTGTCAAGTGTTTGGTCTGAGGCTACATTTGAACCCAGGTCCTCCTGACTTCAGGGCTCGTGCTCTGTCCACTGTGCCACCTAGCTGCCCCTACTCTTTTTTTATTGTGACAATCACCTGCCACTGTCTTGGAAAAAGGGGCTCTCTGGGTAGGTCAATCCAATGGGTCAAATTTGGAGAATACTAACTGGCTGAAGTAGCAGCAGATATAGGGGATAGAAGAGGCATTAGCTTGAACAACACCAATGAATTAACCCCCCCCCCCCCACTAAACAAAGCTTTGTTTGGCGGTGAGTGGAGCAGTGAGGAGGATAAGGCTAGAATCTCATCAATATCCAGAATCAGGCACCTTTGAATAAACCAACTAACACTATTTTTTTTCCTTTAAACCAACTATCCCTCTTCAAGTATGAACTCAGCATTGACTAGTCCATTTAAAGGGTCCTTTGCTTTTGTATATTTTTACTTCAAAATTGTAAGTAAATACAGCTATTTAAGATCTTATGGGTAAATGGAAGGCAAGCAGAGACAAGATCCATGTGTTATGAGGGAATGAAGTATGTCTCCAGGTATTTTGGTTTAAATAGCCAAACCTCCTTCCCTGCATCTCGGGGCTGGAATCCCTCACATTCACCTTTGGCCGAAAACTGTGAATGAATTTCTTAGTGCACAGGGGCAAATGATCTTCCTCACCGACTCAGATTTGGGTTTTTCACCAAACAGATACGTAAGTTTAAACTGTACAGAAATGTCTGTAATTAGGTATACAGCAAGTGCTGTAGCAGGGGTAGCTAGGTGGAGTAGTGGATGAGCACCTGGCCTGGAGTCAGGAAGACTCATCTTCATGGGTTCAAACCTGGCCTCAGACATTTACGAGCTGTGTAACTGAGGGCAAGACATTTAACCCTGTTTGCCTCAGTTTCCTCACCTGTAAAGTGAGCTGGAGAAGGAAAAGGCAAACCACTCTAGTATCTTTGCCAAGAAAACCCCAAAACGGGTCACGAAGAGTCAGACACAACTGAACAACAACAAAAGAAGTATTGTGGCTAAGAGTCTTCAAATTCTTCCTCTGATGCTTACTGTCTAAGTGACCTTGGGCAAGTCACTTATCCTCCATGGGCCTAGGTTTTCTTATTGGTAAAATGAAGGAGTTTGACTCAGGGGTGGGGAACCAGCAGCCTCCAGGTCACACGTGGCCCTCTAGGTCCTCAAGTGTGGCCCTTTGACTGAATCCAAACTCCACAGAACAAAACGCAGCTTCCCCACCCCGGGGATGGTCTCTGAGTTCTTCATCTCTGAATTTGACTCTGACATACATGTTATGTGCAAATACACAGACACATCGACACACAGCCAATCTACATATGTTCAGATGAACCATCAGGGATATAACTCCTTGTATGTCATGATAATTTAGAGGAATCCTACATAGCAATCAATAGCTGTTTTGTCTGTAGACCCACAAAGCTCAGTCCTTCAACAATCCTTCAAGCATGTGCGAAATTAATTTATAAATAGTAGAGAACACTCTAATTAAACAATCTTCTACTAGTGTGTTTCCAGAATGAATACAGGCAGTATCTGTGGGGAAGAACAGGTTTTATATTGTATTTCAACTTTCCCCTTTACTGTCCATGGCTGACTCAGTGGCAGGTGGCTACAAACTGTGAGGACTCTTTCTTTTCAATGTTATGCAGATTCTTGTATCGGCGCAGTCAGAAAAAAACAGAAAAGCATTGGCAGGGACACATCTCTCAAACTGTGGCTGCTCTCTCCTCTCTGGTCATGCCAACTAGTAAATCTTCAGTGGTACAATGGTGCCCTAATGCTGCCAACGAAGAAGGAACACTTTATCATGGGCTTCTTTTAAAGGCCTTGGGAAACGATCGCAGAACAAAAAATAATGTCTTCTCTTTTGTTTATTGCTAGGGATGGAAGTGCAGGTGCTGTTAATGGCTCTTTAATGTAATATAAAATAACCCCATAAAATCCTTAGGCTGTCTGGGAGCTTGAATACCATAGCTCCAGAGTGAAAAAAAATGCACATGAAAAATATTCATTAAAAAGAGGGGAAAAAAAAACTAGGTCCCACATAATTCTTCAAAACAATCCTAGAAAATCAGCTATGTGTATGTCAAATTCAAATTTAAAATTTTTTAGGGGGGTAATCTTTACACATCTATGCCCTGTCTGGTAGTCTGAATAGGCAGGGTACGTAGAATGAATTTGTAGTAGATGTGTAAGGAATATTGTGATTCAAATAAGTTTTCCTACACACACCTCAGAATTTCCATACCTGTAGTACTATACAAGATATTATTATGAAGTTATAAGCCTGATTTTAAAAGTCATTTGTACCCAAATAAGTATCATTCCCTTCAAAGTTCCCTTGGGAGATGATGTATTCATTCTGACTGCTCGACCCAACTGTGAGACTACTCTTTTGCCTTGAGAGAAAGTTTATGGGGCCACATGAAAATGAGTTATGCAATTTTACAGGTGGCCCATCAACTTTCTCTTAAGGCAAAAAAAGACTTTGAAAATTGTGCTGAGCACTCAGAATGAATGCACTAGTGGGGTTTTTTTTAAGCAAAAGCAATATAATGCAACTTGAACACCTACCTTTTCCACCAGCTTTATTTCCGAATTACAATTAGCTATTTCCTAAGTTCATTCAAACCCTCAAATGATGCAGATTTGCCACCAGTGAGGACACTGAAAGAAGAGCATACCAAAAAATGTCTGGCAATAGCAATGTCACTACAATAAGAAGATAGTCTCTCAGAGTTATGACTTCAAAGGGGAGGCATCACATTTAGTTTACTTCCTTTCATTTTTTTTGCGGGGGTGTGGTGTGTGTGTGTGTGTGAGGCAATTGGGGGTTAAGTGACTTGTCCAGGGTCACACAGCTAGTAAGGGTTATGTATTTGAGGCTAGATTTGAATTCAGGTCCTCCTGACTCCAGGGCTGCCACCTAGCTGCCTCCCATCACATTTAGTTATATGTCAATTTGGGTATATTTTATTTTTAATTTATGGAATAAAACAAGCATTCCCACAAAATGGTATAATAAAAAAAGATGATTGAACTGCAACCTATTATATACAACTTACTATTCTTTTAAACATATAAAAAGGTTATCATGTAAATTTCTTTTTTCCCCCTCTTTTCTACCCCCCCATCCCCAATAATGTTGTTGTTCAGTCACATCCAACTCTTCTAGGGCTGGATTTAAGTAGTGTTGTAATGAGTCTACATCATTTGCATTTCTTTTCAGTCTGGGACTATGGAAGTCCATTTCCCTTATGGGTTGTGCCTACAACATGTATACAAGTACATATAAAGTAGTAAAATGTAATTCAGAGGGGAGAAAAGGCTAATAACTCTCATGTAGGTCTCATGTAGGAAGGCAGCACCTGAAAAAAGCTAGGGTTTCTATAAGGCAGGTGTGAAAAGGAAGTGCATTCCCCAAGGAGGGGCTGACCACTTGTACCGGGGAATGACGAAGGAGATGAAGACACTACCTCTGATACTTACTAGCTCTGACCCTGGGCAAGTCACATAGCCTGGCCTCAGTTCTTCTTCTGTACTATGAGGAGGTTGGATTCCTTGATTAGCAACTGAGATTCTCTCTTCCTCCTCCTCCCCCTCCTTGCCCCCATGGGAAATGATCCAGTCATACTTAGCATACACATTGTAATTGGTGCATGTGACATGGCCACCTCCCATCATCATGCCATTGCACTAGATGTCCCTATCTTCCCATGCCTGGAATGCTCTTCCACCTCATCTCCACAAGCCTCAGCTCAAATCCCACCTTCTGTAAGAACATTTCCTGGTTCCCCCTTAATGCGACTGCCTTCCCTCTGAGAGTGCCTTCCCTCTGTCTGTTATTCTCTGTGTGTGTGTGTGTGTGTGTGTGTGTATGTATATACATATGTGTGTGTGTGTGTGTGTGTGTGTGTGTGTGTGTGTATATATATTTTGTACCTATTTATTTACATGTCATCTTTCCCATTAGAATGTAAACTCCTTGAGGGCAGGGACCGTATACCAGCTTTCTTTAACTCCCCTCTACTTTACTCAGTGCCTCTCACATAGTGTTTAATAAATGCTTGCTGACTGTGCATGCAATACTTTAGACAAAATACTATCTAAGATAAGCAATAAGATAAGCAGCCCTATAAGCTCTTTGAGGGCAGGGACTGCTCCTTTTCTATCTTTGAATCCCCAGTGCCTAGGACAGTACCTTGTATATACTGCAGACACTTACTAAATGTTAGTTAAATGGAAAAAAAAAATGCCTTGGGATAAGTAAACTTAAGAACCTGTAGGGTGTCACTGTGGGTAAGGGATTTTAAAAAAAAAGGAAAAAAGGAAAAATGAGAATAATTGTGTGGCTAGAAGGTTAAGATAATGAAGTGAAACAAATGTCAATATTGCTTCTCGGAAGTGTTTATGTCTACCTACCTTGTAAGAGACCTGTGGTTTTGGCCATGAAAATTCAGGTTCACGGTATGCTTTACAAATCCTTAAGAACAGAAACTGGTTTCTTATACTTATTCCACCCATCTGCCATAAATTCGTCCTACACACCTTACAATCAAACTGGGTATGAATGTGTAAAGAATATCAAATAGTGTCTGTCTCAGACTCTCTCTTAGTCACTTCCAGTAATTATAAATCATCCTAAGCTAGGCGCAACTCCCAAGAGCTTACAAAAGCATGGTGCCACAGGGCTGACTGGTGAAAGCCATCATTAAGCCTACAGTATTGTCAACTTACACGGACTGTATCACCATCACTACAGATGCTGCCGGGCCCTGAGTTACTTCCAAAACACCTCAACAGAATGAAGAAAGACAATGGTTTCCTTCCAAGAAATTCACCAGAGTAGAGACCTCTCCAACGATGACAAAGGTGGGCTGAAGACAGAATCAACTAAACTTTAAAAAAAGGCAAAGCAACTGTATAAGAAATAGCTTAGATTTCAGGACAACTGGGGGTGGGGGATGTTTACTGAGTTTAAGAAGAAATCCTCAATGTGTATGTATTGATGCTTTTCTCTTAGGGGACATTATTTTAGGGACCTTTAGGAGTATAATAACATGTTACTGATCAACTTACTACAATATATCTATGATTAGTTCAGGGTATATATTAGGAACTTGTCCGAGACTATCCACAAATATGACCATCTCATCTGGTTAACAAACATTTATTAATCATATATAAATATATATGTACATAGGTTGTATATTATACATTATATAATGTTATTAAATGATTATATATTTAACACACTATATTATATATCATATAATAATCACAAATGCCTGTAATTATATAATACACTGCATATTATATGTACATATGTACATACATAAATACCGTGTATATATGTATACTGCAATATATACATATATATATACACAATATATACCTACATGTAGGTACCTAAATGTACATAGATGCAATATATGTGTACACATGTGTACACACACAGGGTACTGTGGGGCTGGAGACAGCAACAAAAGTTAGTTAAGAAATGGTCCCTATCATCAAAGAATTCCATTACAAGATGATTTGGTGATAATTGTTCAAACTCACAGATGAGGAATCCAATGTGGATCACGATACTATACGAAGATGACAGACAGCAAATATGAGTTCAGGACATGTTAAGTACACATAGTATGTACAATTTACTGTGGTTTAAATGTTTTCATCACTTTTTCTAGTAAAACTTTTCCTAGAATCCAATGGTATTCTTCTTTTCTGTTACAGCTAAAAAAAAAAAATTCCACAATGGTTCTTCCCTCAATCAGCTTTCCTGTCTTCTCCAGTGACTAATTTAAGAGTAATGACAAGATCAAGGGTGACAAGTATGAAAAGTAAGAGGAGGGATTGTCTCTTCTGTTTCCTTTTCACAAATCAAAGCACTTTCAGAGTTGGAAAGGATGTCAAGGCCCATTCAATTCATACCTGCAAAAGAATTCCCTCTACAATTCACCCAACAGGTGATCATCCACTTGCTGCTTGAAAACCTCCAGTGAGAAGGAAACAAACGTATCTTCCAAGGCAGCCCATTGCTCTTTTAAATGGTTCTAATGATTAGGAAGTGTTTCCTTGTTGTTCAGTTATGTCCAACTCTTCATGACCCCATTTGGGGTTTTCTTGGCAAAGATATTGGAGTAGTTTGCTGTTTCCTTCTCCAGCTCATTTTACAGATGAGGAAACTGAGGCAAATAGGATTAAGTGACTCACCCAGGGTCACACAGCTAGTAAGTGGCTGAGGCTGGATTTGAACTCATGAAGAGGCCTGCCTCCAGGCCTGGTGCTCTATCCACTAGCTGCCCCAGTGTTTCCTTATATTAAGCCTAAATTTGTTTCTTTGCAACTTTTACCCACAGCCCTTTGGTCTATCCTCTAGGACCAGGACAATTCTAATTCCTCTTCAATGTGGCAATCCCTCTTCAAAGACTTGCAGAAAGCAGACCACCCTTTCTCCTCCCTTGAAAGAGCTCTGCATTTGGAGTCAGAGTGCCTGGGTTCAAATCCTCCCTCTGATCCTTACTACCTGTGTAACTTTAGGCAAATCACGTAAAATCTCTGGGCTTCAATACTACCATCTGGAAAATAAGGGAGTTGAACTAGATAGCCTTGGAAGTCCCCATGATCCCAGGCAGCAATGTAGCATGGTGGGTAGAGCTCTGGACTTGGGAGTTGGAAAGACTTGGGTTTAAAGCCTTCCTCAGACACTTAACTAGCTGTGTGACTTTTTCAGGCAATTCACTAAACCTCTCTTCCTCAGTTTTCCTCATCTGCCAAATAACAATAATGAGGTAACAAATAAAGAGTTCTGCAAAACCTAATGATTGTGACCCTAGTCCCATTAAATCACACATCTATCAATCAACCAGTATTAAATATCTTCTGCGTCCCAGGCACTGTACTAGATACTAATATAATAAATGAAACAATTTGTACTTGCAAGAAGATTACATTGAAGACTGAAAACAACTCCTAAGAAACAATCTGTACTTGCAAAGAGATTACATTTGAGCCCAAAAAAACTTGTAGGGTTAAAGTTTCACATGTGTCCTAGCAATAACATGACTGAAGTTTGAGGAGCTCCTTATATTTGCTACTAGCCAAACCAGAAGGTCCTGAATGATGCTTTTCATTAAGAGCAGCAAATCTCATTTAAGCCGGTGCTCTATTGAAAGCTCAGTACAATGGTGGCTTTGCCTTCTCATTGGAATGCAGCAAGCCTGCTGTGGCAGGCACGATCTTGGCATGTGTGACTCAGCCTGAGTCATGTTTGTGCTCATCTGCCTACAGTGGGATGCGCCCTACTGTATCAGATGGCTCATTGGCATCTGTTCCTGAACAGGTCTGGTTCAACACTAGGAAGTGGGTGAATGAACCTAGAATCCTGTCAGCACCTTTCCCCTAAAACACAGCATTCAAGAATCCTAAGGCGGTACAACAGTCAATAGGACATAGTGGAGTGCAGTGAAAAGAAGGATGGGGTTGGAGTTGGAAGACCTAGGTCTTCATCCTTGCTTTGCTAAATATTACTTATTTCTTTTTCTCCCCTCCTCTTCATCTCACATCATTCAGACATATTCCCTTTGCTTTCACCACCTTATCTCTTCCTTTACTTCTGGTCTCTAATGAAGAGGTGACTCATTTCATTAACAAGACCCATTTAATTAACACCTCTACACGCATTCTTAATCCCATCAGCTCCCTCCATCCTGTCTTTTATAGTAGACTACCCTCAGTATCATACCCTCTCTCTAATCTTTAATCTCTCATCTATTGGCTTCTTTCCTGCTACCTACAAACATTCTTATGAACTCCTTATCCAAAACAAACAAACAAAAAACACCAACCAACAAACCAAAAATCCTTGCATGATTCTGACCATTCCCACTATACACCATCCAGTATCTCTCCTTTCCTTCTTGACTGAACTGCTAGAGAAATCCGTCTACAAAAGGTGCCTCCATTTCTTCTACCTTCACTCCTAAACCCTCTATAATTTGGTTTCCAATCTCATCATTTAACTGAAACTGACTTTTCTCCAAAATTAAATTAATTGTCCAATCTCATGGTCTTTTTTCAATTCTCATCCTTTTTGACCTTTCTGTGGTCTCCAACACGGTTGACTGCCATATTCTCCTGGATATTCCATCCTCTCCAGGTTCTCATGACCCTGTTTTCTCCTAGTTCTCCTTTTACTTGTCTGACTGCTCCTTCTCAGTATCCATCCCATGCCTACTCACTGTGGGTGCCACCCCACCCCACCCCTCGGCTCTCTTCTCTTTTCCCTCTATACTGTCTGGCTTGGTGATCTCATTAGGGTCCAATTATCATCTCTGTGCAGATCATTCCCAGATCTATATACCCAGTACAACACTCTCTCCTTGAGTTCTAGTCTGGAAGCACCAAATAAATGCCTTTTGAGCACCTCAAACTGGATGTCCTATGGCACCTCAAATTCAATATGCCCAAAGCAGAAGTCATTATCTCACACACAAAAAACCCTTCCAACTTTCCCATTATTATCAAGGACAATGCTATCCTTCTAGTCACCCTGTCTTATAACCTCAGGGTCATCTTTGACTTTATTTCCATTCACATCACATATAGAATTGTAAAACTTATCATTTTTACTTTTTACAACACCGCCTGTATATGTATATACTCCCCTTCTTTCCACTTATACAGCTGCTACCCTGGTTCAGGCACTAATCATTTCTTACATGGGATATTGCAATAGCCTTCCAATTGGTGGCCCCTGCCTCATCTCTCCCCTTCCAATCCAAATATTTATCCAGCTACTAAAGGGATTTTCCTAAATTGTACGTCTGCCCATATAACTGCCTGAGTTACAGTACTGGCCCCCTATTTCTTCTGGAATCACATATAAATTCCCATGTTTGCATTTAAAGGCCTTCTCCACCTGCCCTGCTCCTACCTTTCTAGTCTTCTTGTATTTTTACTCCCCTTCCTGAATTCTACTGATCCTGGCACACTGGCCCATTCACAGTTCTTGGAAGACCACATTTCCTCTCCTGACACTGGTTTTTACTGGCTGTCCTCCAAGCCTAGAATGCCCTTCCTTTTCACCTCCACCTCTCAGCTGGCTTCCTTCAAGACTCAGCTTAAATCCCATCTTCTCTAAGAAGCTTTCCCCAATCTCCCCATAGCTCCTCATGCTACTAGTACCTTCCTTTGGAGATTACACTATAGATACTTATAGTTCATACACAGTGATTTACAAGCTGTTTCCCTCATTAGAACAAGAACTCCTTTCTTTGTATCACCAGTACTTAGCATAGTCCCTGGCATATAGTAGGTGATTAATCAATGTTTGTTGACTAATATTAACCAAGTCATTTAACTTCTTTGGGTTTTGTTTCTCTATCAGTAAAATAAGAGAGTTGGATTCCATGATCTCTGAGATCTTTTATCCCCCAAATCTATGTAATGGGACCAGAATTCACTCAAAACCTTCATAACCACTACTGAAAAAAAAAATGTACAGGCTAGGACAATCTCTGGCCTTTTCAAAGAACCTTTAGATATCCTAATATGAAGATCTAAAAACCCATACCATGAATAAATGCAACAACATCAGTGGTCCAGTAGAAAAAGCAATGACTTTTTGAACCCAGGGAAACACCTTCCTGTGTGACCCTGGACAAGTCACTGCCTCCATGGAGTTTGGTTTTCTTATCGGTTTGAACTAGACAGTCTCTGAGATTTCTTCTGTCTCTCAATATACAATCTTGTGGTTAGAATTAGATAGCAGCCCCAGAAGAAGGCACAGGCAAATTCCCTACTTGAAGTCTTAATTCTGGTTGTCCTGCTTGGCACAGGAATCCTGAGGGTAGGGCCATAAACTAAGACTAAATGAGTGTCCTATCAATCTCCATGTCTCCCCAGAGCAGTGACTCAGAGAGAAGGAAATGATAAGTCAATGCCCTTCAAACTGTGGCTTAAAAAAATATAAAAATCTAGAATGTCACATACATACAAACAAGCTCTCCACTGCCACCTGAACTGCCATTCTCTCAGAAGCACAGAATCTCAGGGTTGAAAGAGGCTTGGAGTCTACTAATATCTCTGTAACGTGCCTAAAAAAAGGAGTTATTCAGACCTTGCTCAAAAACCTCCAATGAGGGGAGGGAGCAGCTAGGTAGCACAGTGGATAGAGCACTGGCCCTGGATTCAGTAGGGCCTGAGTTCAAATCTGGCCTCAGACACATAACACTTATTAGCTGTGTGACCCTGGGCAAGTCACTTAACCCCATTGCCTAGCCATAAAACAAAAAACAAAAAAAAAAAACAAAAACACCAAAAAAACCCCAAAAACCTCCAATGAGGAGAACCAATGAGGAGACCTCCAATGAGGAGAACCTTCTGGGGCAACCCATTCCTTCTATCAAGCTTACATTAGCCTCTGCAGTGTATACCTTCATCTAGTCTTATCTTCTGGAGCCATGCTGAACAGCCTTTTAATTACTTGAAGATAATTATAGTGTCCCCTCTTCTTCCCTCTCTATAGCTCTCAGGGTGCATGGAGCTGTCTTTTGGTGAACTTCTTTTCCTCTCCAAAGGTGCCAATGATATTTATTTTAACTATATTTCATTGGATAGAAATGTTGGGGGGAAAGAATCGCAGAGTAGTCGCTGGCTAACCTCTTCTTCTCCTGAAAAGGCATTGCTGTTGATGGGTTCCATCCCAATATCATCTTATAAAAATTTTAATTTATTTTTTAAACACTGAAGATGGCTTATAGGAGGTGACTTGGATATATGCAAAATT